TGCGCGCTCCGCCCGAGGCTCCGCGAGGGTCATTAGGCGGTGACCGACCGAAGGTCAGCGGGTTCAAGCTGCATGCGTCGCCTTCGGAGACTCAGATATTGACTTAACAAATAAAAACAACGATATATGTGTGTGCGAGTGGTTGTTGTTGTTGTTTATATTCGGGGCCAACGTATCAACGGCGCGACGTGGAAATGCGTCCCCAACACCGTTCATATTTTTAGCTGGCATCTCATCGTCATCATCATCGTCATCATCATCGTCATCATCATCATCGTCATTATCATCGTCATCATCATCGTCATCATCATCGTCATCATCATCGTCATCATCATCGTCATTATCATCGTCATCATCATCGTCATCATCGTCATCATCATCGTCATCATCGTCATCGTCATCATCGTCATCATCATCGTCATCATCATCGTCATCATCATCATCGTCGTCATCATCATCATCGTCATCATCATCGTCATCATCGTCATCATCATCGTCGTCTATAACAATAGGTATTACTCCTTCCCGGCAATACAACAGTTGTGTTAAGACGTTAAAACACCAAACAAAAGAATTTTCCAAGGAATCATGTCCGCATTAAACACACGTGCTTGCGGTGAACATGCAAACAAAAAACACGCTCTGATAATACACGATGCATTGTCTTTGAAACTGATTGGTACACAATAGCAGAGACAGCTTTCTTTCAAGATTCAAAGACAATGCATCTATAATAAGGTAGGACGGGCAGCTCGCCCTACCCGTGCGAGTGGATAACAAGAGGCAACTTTAAAGAATCTCAGCAGTAGCTCTGTGATATCCCCTTCTCGCGGATCGATCTGTAACAGCACGCTGTACGAGCGCCGCCGCTCCTCCGGTGTCAAGCGAACACTCCGCCTCGTGACCACGGGGGCATCGATTGCGCGAAGCGATATATATATTTTTATTAACAATAATGTTTTTTTAAGTTACTTAAAAAGAAAATGTGTTCTGATTTTCTTCCTTGACCTTTGCCCCCTGGGCTTCAGAAGTTTCTCTGCGCGTGTCTCGGCCCCGCGGAGCCACGCCCCTCGCCCCCGTCCGTGTCTTCTGTGACGAACGCGTGCCCGTCAGCGGCTGTGGATTTGTGCGCACTGTGTGAACAGACGGATGGCTCACGGATAATGTGGTCGTCCAAAAAAAAAAGGCTGGGGGGGGGGGTGGATAGTCAGGGCTGGGAGTGGGAGGGGGGCTTGACGGGGCCTCTGGGCACACGGCCCTGACGCGTGGCTTAGTCTGAGGATCTCTTATCTGGTGAACGAGACGACTCGGAGTTGCGACAAAAACGCTGGCGCCGTTTACTCGGGGGGTGGGGGGGGGGTGATGCTGCCCCCCGCGGGAGCGCGTTCAGCCGCTTGTTTTAGAGGCTCGCGGTTCGATACCGGCAGGCCGCCCTGGTTAATACTGTTGTCGAGTAAAAACGAAGAATTACAATATTTATTTATACTGGAGGAATCCGATGAGCTATAAAGTTCTTTTTTCACAGATGGCATTCAGCTCCTGAACGCATTGCTCCTGGCGAGACTAGAACGGGCCCCACATTGTGGAGGCTCCCGAGGGGGGGGGGGGGAGACCATAAAGCAGTGAAAGTTGGCAGCGCATAGCCACAGTGAAACCGCACAGTCCCAAGACTCCTTTTCGGGAGGATGCTGCAACGCATTGGGATGCTTGGCCACGAATTCCGTTCGAGGGGCATTAGAATGTGACCTCGAGTGATAAAGGCTACAACAACAACATTCCTCGCATATTCCAGTCGATGCCATTCACGGCTGTGTTTCGGGTCGGCATTGCACGTGGCTGTGTGCGTGTCTCTGTGCGATAGCAGGGAGCGGGGACGTAGCGGTTAGCGCGCTGCGCTACGAAACCCGCCGACCCGAGTTCGATTGCCGCTCACGGCCAGCACCAGTGACGATTATCTGAACCTGGACTTAAGGTCAATCTCTAGGTCGACTCAGCCTCGAATGAGTACCTGGTGTGGTGCGTAAAAAACATGGCCAAGAGGGAGACAAAGGCGGCCGGGCGTTGTGCTTGCCTTCCCCCCTCGTGTGCCGTACCGGCCTCGCTCACAGCACTTGCCCCAATAATCTGTTAAGGATAAAAGGGGGGGGGGGGGGGGGGGGGGGTCGTTGTCTGTGTGATGATCACAGGGCTATCGTTGTGACGTCACCTCGCACGTGACCTGAGTTCTCCACATACCGCAGAGAGCAGCCCACAGCAAGGCCCCGAGACAGAGAGACAGAGAGACAGAGACAAAGAGACAGAGAGACAGAGAGTGCTGGAGCTGAGAGACAGAGAGAGACAGAGAGACAGAGAGTGCTGGAGCTGAGAGACAGAGACAGAGAGACAGAGAGTGCTGGAGCTGAGAGACAGAGACAGAGAGACAGAGAGTGCTGGAGCTGAGAGACAGAGACAGAGAGACAGAGAGTGCTGGAGCTGAGAGAGAGACAGAGAGACAGAGAGTGCTGGAGCTGAGAGAGAGACAGAGAGAGACAGAGACAGAGAGACAGAGAGTGCTGGAGCTGAGAGAGAGACAGAGACAGAGACAGAGAGACAGAGAGTGCTGGAGCTGAGAGAGAGACAGAGACAGAGAGACAGAGAGTGCTGGAGCTGAGAGAGAGACAGAGACAGAGAGACAGAGAGTGCTGGAGCTGAGAGAGAGACAGAGAGACAGAGAGTGCTGGAGCTGAGAGAGAGACAGAGAGACAGAGACAAAGAGACAGAGAGACAGAGAGTGCTGGAGCTGAGAGAGAGACAGAGAGACAGAGAGTGCTGGAGCTGAGAGAGAGAGACAGAGACAAAGAGACAGAGAGTGCTGGAGCTGAGAGAGAGACAGAGAGAGACAGAGACAGAGAGACAGAGAGTGCTGGAGCTGAGAGAGAGACAGAGACAGAGACAAAGAGACAGAGAGTGCTGGAGCTGAGAGACAGAGAGAGACAGAGACAAAGAGACAGAGAGTGCTGGAGCTGAGAGAGAGACAGAGACAGAGACAAAGAGACAGAGAGTGCTGGAGCTGAGAGAGAGACAGAGAGAGACAGAGACAAAGAGACAGAGAGTGCTGGAGCTGAGAGAGAGACAGAGAGAGACAGAGAGACAGAGAGTGCTGGAGCTGAGAGAGAGAGACAGAGACAGAGAGACAGAGAGTGCTGGAGCTGAGAGAGAGACAGAGAGAGACAGAGAGACAGAGAGTGCTGGAGCTGAGAGACAGAGAGAGACAGAGACAGAGAGACAGAGAGTGCTGGAGCTGAGAGACAGAGAGAGACAGAGAGAGACAGAGACAAAGAGACAGAGAGTGCTGGAGCTGAGAGAGAGACAGAGAGAGACAGAGACAAAGAGACAGAGAGTGCTGGAGCTGAGAGACAGAGAGAGACAGAGACAAAGAGACAGAGAGTGCTGGAGCTGAGAGAGAGACAGAGAGAGACAGAGAGACAGAGAGTGCTGGAGCTGAGAGAGAGAGACAGAGACAGAGAGACAGAGAGTGCTGGAGCTGAGAGAGAGACAGAGAGAGACAGAGAGACAGAGAGTGCTGGAGCTGAGAGACAGAGAGAGACAGAGACAAAGAGACAGATAGTGCTGGAGCTGAGAGACAGAGAGAGACAGAGACAGAGAGACAGAGAGTGCTGGAGCTGAGAGAGAGACAGAGACAGAGAGACAGAGACAGAGAGACAGAGAGTGCTGGAGCTGAGAGAGAGACAGATAGAGAGACAGAGACAGAGAGTGCTGGAGCTGAGAGACAGAGAGAGACAGAGACAGAGAGACAGAGAGTGCTGGAGCTGAGAGACAGAGAGAGACAGAGACAGAGAGACAGAGAGTGCTGGAGCTGAGAGAGAGACAGAGACAGAGAGACAGAGAGTGCTGGAGCTGAGAGAGAGACAGAGACAGAGAGACAGAGAGTGCTGGAGCTGAGAGAGAGACAGAGAGAGACAGAGACAGAGAGACAGAGAGTGCTGGAGCTGAGAGAGAGACAGAGACAGAGACAGAGACAAAGAGACAGAGAGTGCTGGAGCTGAGAGACAGAGAGAGACAGAGACAAAGAGACAGAGAGTGCTGGAGCTGAGAGACAGAGAGACAGAGACAGAGAGACAGATAGTGCTGGAGCTGAGAGAGAGACAGAGACAGAGAGACAGAGAGTGCTGGAGCTGAGAGAGAGACAGAGAGAGACAGAGACAGAGAGACAGAGAGTGCTGGAGCTGAGAGAGAGACAGAGAGAGACAGAGACAAAGAGACAGAGAGTGCTGGAGCTGAGAGAGTAACAGGGCGAGAGAGACAGAGAGTGCCGCCAGCAGCAGAAGCACTGGAGGCGATTTCGATATGAAATACACAAAGTTACCAGCAACACAAATGAAAATAAACGTTACAAATCCACGCGCTGTGGCGCTAAAAAGCACCGCGCACAACACGAAAGAAAAGTCACGTGGTTGTGGTGGTCATTCGCGCAGGCCACGTTGACGAGCGAGCGCTTCAGAAGGTGAACATGAGGGTGCCGTCCACGCTAGTACAGAGGGCTTTTCCGGCTCCCCAGCGTTCGAAGAAGACGTGCACATCACCGACATGTGTGTGGTATGCGTGCTCCAGCCAGAGCCGCGCATTAAGCAGGACGAGAGAGAGCCAGAGAGTGCTGGAGCTGAGAGAGTAACAGGACGAGAGAGACAGAGAGACAGACAGTGCTGGAGCTGAGAGAGTAACAGGACGAGAGAGAGACAGACAGTGCTGGAACTGAGAGAGTAACAGGGCGAGAGAGACAGACAGTGCTGGAGCTGAGAGAGTAACAGGACGAGAGGGGAGAGAGGGAGACGTGGCGGAAGAGAGGCGCCGCTGGGAGCAGAGCGATGGAGGCAAGAGGTGTGTGTCTCGGCTCGTGCGACGGGGAGGAGAGCCGAGAGAGTCCACGGTAGAAGAGCAACGGCCAGGGTGGGAGGGAGGGCGAGTGTTGAAGAGGACGACAGAGAGAGAGACTTTTAAACTACTTTTATTGCCGCCAGCAGCAACAGCAACGGAGGCGATGTCGATACGAAACACAAAGTCACCAGCAAACAAAAGTAACCGATCACAATGAACGCCACGTGCCGCAGGACACAAAAAAAAGTCACGTGGTGGTGGTGGTGGTCGTCACGCACGTCACGCCCCACGACCGAGCACGTGACGAAGGTGAAAAAAGAGGGTGCCGTTCACGCCGGGACAGAGGGGCTCTTCAAGCAGCTGTGCGTCGAGTCTCGAGTAGGGGCTGTTGCTGCTCAGCTCTGGGGATTCGCAGCAGCAGCAGCCCCGAGACCGGGTGGTGATTTTAAATCCCGGGGGTCTGGGGTGGGGGGGAGGAGTGAGGAGAGATAAGGGCTGTGTTCTGGGGTGGGAGCCGTCAATATTGTGTCGCCGCGTGCTTGGCCAAGCGGTCAGACACGCTGAGAGGGTGGCGGGCGAATCCCCAGGAATAGGATTACACGCAGAGCTTTAGACTCACATAGAGAGCCACGGACTCACAGAGAGTGCCAGAGACTCAGACAGAGAGCCACAGGCTATCATGGACAGCCAACGGGCTGGCTTAGAGAACCATAGGCTAAAAGACCCGTAGACTCACATGGGCCCATAGACTCACACAGGGACCCATAGACTCACATAGAGAGCCATATACTCACATAGAGAGCCATAGACTCAATTAATCTTTGGTTCGTTCGGTAAAGTCACGTATAAATAAGAAATAATAGACTCACACAGAGACCCATAGACTCACGCAGAGAGCCATAGACTCACATAGAGAGCCATAGACACACAGAGAGCCATAGACTCACATAGAGAGCCATAGACTAAAAGACCCGTAGACTTACATGGGCCCATAGACTCACACAGGGACCCGTAGACTCACATAGAGAGCCATAGACTCACATAGAGAGCCATAGACTCACACAGAGAGCCATAGACTCACACAGAGACCCATAGACTCGCCACACAGAGACCCATAGACTCACATAGAGAGCTATAGACTCACATAGAGAGCTATAGACTCACATAGAGAGCCATAGACTCACATAGAGAGCCATAGACTCACATAGAGACCCATAGACTCACATAGAGAGCTATAGACTCACATAGAGAGCCATAGACTCATATAGAGAGCCATAGACTCGGTTTGCTTTTCAGAAAGATTCCAAAGCCAAATATTCACAGAGACACGGGGGTGATCCTCACGAAGTGAAGGACCGCACACAAAACAGTCGCCCCCCTCGCCCCCCTTCCCCCGCCCCCTCCCCCCCCCAAGGCGAGGGCACCCAGAGGGAGATTCGAAGCGCTGCGTTGCAGCCTCAACGCGCGCGACGCACTCCAAGCACCGCGAGTGGTGTCCCGCAACTTCTCCCTCTGGGGTGCTCAGCTCGTGTTAGAGGCTAGGCGGGGGTCTGCGAGTGTGCGCGCGTGTGTGTGTACGTGTGTGTGTACGTGTGTGTGTGTGTGTGCGCGGGTGTGTACGCGAGGGTGTGTACGTGTGTGTGTGAGGGAAAATCCCTCAGCCAGGAAAACATCGTGGCACAAAGTGAGGATGACCCTGCTGAGGCTGCGGTGCCTCAAATATTGGAAGAAGTCACCCCCTGTGAGTGGCTGGCTGAAGTGTCATCTGTTGAGGAAGTACTGAAGGCGATCCGGAGTCTGAGACCAGGAAAGGTAGCGGGCAGAGATGATCTCCTAAGCGAAATGCTGAGGGAGGGTGGCGTTTGTGCACAGACTGCCCTATATGACATCATAACAACAGTCTGGACCACTGGACGGGTTCCGCAGGATTGGAAGAATGCCCTGATGGTCCCCCTCTTTAAGAAGAGGGACTGCACAGACTGTAACAACTACAGGGGCATCTCACTCCTCAGTGTGCCGGGAAAGGTCCTGGCAAGGATTATTCATCATCGCCTTGCCAGGCACGCTGAGGAGAGGCTTGCGGAGCCCCAATGCGGTTTCAGGAAAGGGCGGTCCTGCACAGATGCCATATTTTCTGTCCATCTGCTACAACAGAGGTGGTTTGGTAATATCTGCTCATTCAGAGGAGGAGTTGGAGACGCTGCTGCTGAGACTGGAGCGTGCCACTAAGAGATGGGGCCTTACCATCAGCCCCACCAAAACTAAGCACCTGCCTGGGTATTTTGTACCATCGGACACTCCACCCCCATAACTCCCAATCGGTGATGGGGCAGTTGTGGAGAGAGTGGAGAGTTTCCCATACCTGGGCAGTGTGCTTATGACCGGCTCCTGTTTAACAGCAGAGGTCTCACTCCGAATCAGTCGAGCGGCAATATTTTTTCATCGGTTGCGTAACGCTGTGTGGAAGCTACCTGGTCTGTCGCTCCACACTAAGCTTCAGGTCTTCTCGGCCACGGTCATTCCCCCCCTTCTCTACGCTTGCCAAACGTGGACCCCCCTTATGGAACATCTTCGCCGGTTAGAAACATTTAGGCTGGCCTGCCGACGATCCATCCTGGGTTTAACCAGACTGGATTGTGTTAGGAGCTCACAAATCCTTGAAAGATCTGGGCAAGGTCCCATCGGTGAGCTCCTCCGGCGGGCAAGGCTGCGATGGCTGGGTCATGTAGCCCGCATGCCCAGCCACCGCATGCCGAAACAGCTTTTGTTCGGCCGGATCGAGGAGGCTAAACGGGCGCGGCACGGGCTAGATAAGAGATGGAGTGATGTGTTACAGGAGGACGTGGAGCTGAGTGAACTTGCCGATGACTGGTACCAGCGGTGTCAAGATCGGCCTCAGTGGGGGAGGCTCGTGAAGGACGCTAATGGGCAGTTGGAGGTAGTCGCCCTCCAACAACAACGGAGGGCGGAGGAGCGACGCTCACAACAACGAGCGGAGCGCCGGGTGGCTAGGGCACAGCAGGTTGGCACAGTAGGGGGCACAGGTGGTGCATCAGCCAGTCATCTCAGTCAGTCGACCCGTGGCACCTGGGTCTGCCCCGTGACCTCCTGCCAGCGGGCGTTCGACACTTCACGTGGCCTCAAGGTGCACATGGCCTGGCACAAGCGTCGTGGTGACGTCACCGCCACTTAGTGGCGAATGGCGGTTGTTGTGTACGTGTGTGTGTACGCGTGTGTGTGTACGTCTGTTAAGGCTATACGGGGGATCTTTGTTTGTGTACGTGTGTGTGTACGTGTGTGTGTGCGCGCGGGTGTGTACGCGCGGGTGTATACGTGTGTGTATGTACGTGTGTGTGTACGTGTGTGTGTGTGCGCGGGTGTAGGCGTGTGTGTGTACGTGTGTGTGTGTACGTGTGTGTGTGTACGTGTGTGTGTGTACGTGTGTGTGTGTACGTGTGGGGAGCGGTAGTGCAGCGGTTAACGCGCTGCGCTACGAACCTGGCGAGCCGGGTTCGATTCCCGCTCACGGCCAGTGACGATGATGTGAACCGGTCCTTGGAGTAGAGAGGCCACTGCAAGAGATCTGAGCCGCGGCAGTAGTTCTGTGATGTCTGCTTGCGCGGGCTGTTGTCGAGCACGAGGCGCTGCTTCGTGACATGTCGCCAATAGCGCGTTTGGAATGAAACTGGGAGAGAGAGAACGAAAGAAAGAGAAAACCAAGACAACAAATTGATTATTGAGCCTCAGTGGATTTTTTTCACCCGGGCCCCTCGGCACCAATGCGTATGGGAGTCGAGCAACAGAGAGAGAGAGAGCGGTGCCTTCAGCGGTCGCCAGATTAAATCAGCCGATTACCCAGGGTCCTGCCGCCTCCAATACGTTTGACGCAATGTTTCGGTGGTGTGTATATATTTTAAAATTCTATTTTTCAGGCAGCCTGACACCGCGAGGAACGGAAACGGGCAAATAGCGAGACCGCTCGCTCCCCGGGCGCTGAGACGCGCAGTGGCGGGCAGAGGAGAGACGCCCAGAGCACGTGCTCGCGGCGATAATGGTAAACAACACCAACAACATCAACAAGAAACATCAACAACAACAACAGCAACAATAGCCGCAATCAACAAGGAATCTGTGAAGAAGATGGCAATCCATTATCCCGGGAAGCCTTTAAGTTTAAAAAATATATATATACAAAGATGTCCAGATAGTCTTTCGCAGGCTGTTGAGGGAATAGTGCTGTTAATGAGCACCTTGTGAAGGCCGGCACGGCACACGAGGGGGTGGGTGGCTAACAACACGCCCGACCGCCTTTGTCTCCCCCAGTGGTGATGTTTGTCGGATGAAGCTAGTGCGAGTCCTGTAGCATATGTTATCAAGGGGTCCTAAATACAAAATAAAAAAAACACACAAATTGTTGTTAATTGCATTATAAAGTTATTGTATTTTTCAATTTGCTATAAAGCCAGATAATACGACAAATCGCTAACTTTAAACACCCAGTCGTTCATAAAAGTCGAAGGCGGTATAGTACTATAGTAATAGAGCAAGTGCATAATCACTGAACCGGAATTGATAGCTTGAGAAAGCATTTAGCGCGGGGCCCTTGAAAGTGCGGGGCCCGTAGCATTTGTAGCGACTATTGCTGTACTGTTATACGCTGAACTGCAATAACTCTGGGGTTTTTTTTGGGTGGAAAGACGGATATATGAAGGAGACATCGCTTATCTAATTTGATTGTTTCAGTTGGGTCAGCAGTGACTGTGCAAAAACATCTAATAATATTTAATGTTTGCATTTGGATAAAATCCAACAAGAAAAGTGACGAGATATCAGTTTGACTGGCATGCGATGAATATTTGTCTTTCGCCGGACATGCATGGGAGGCGCAGGGACGCTGAGTGTATGTGTGTGCGACTTAAACGCTCCCTTGAATCGTTCTCAGAAGTAGTTCTATAATACCTACTTCTGCGTCGCATTCCGTAGCACACGGGGTGGTGAGCGGCTCCACAGGAGTGCTCAATCTCAAGAAGCCAATCACTTCAAACTTTGGCGCTGTGTGGCACTGTGTGGCACTGTGTGGCACTGTGTGACACTGTGTGGCACTGTGTGGCACTGTGTGACACTGTGTGACACTGTGTGACACTGTGTGGCACTGTGTGACACTGTGTGGTACTGTGTGTCACTGTGTGGTACTGTGTGTCACTGTGTGGCACTGTGTGACACTGTGTGACACTGTGTGGTACTGTGTGGTACTGTGTGTCACTGTGTGGCACTGTGTGGCACTGGGTGGTACTGTGTGACACTGTGTGACACTGTGTGGCACTGTGTGACACTGTGTGACACTGTGTGGCACTGTGTGGCACTGTGTGACACTGTGTGGCACTGTGTGGCACTGTGTGGCACTGTGTGGCATTGAGTGGCACTGTGTGCTATAGCACTTGTGTGACACTGTGTGGCACTGTGTGGCATTGAGTGGCACTGTGTGGAACTGTGTGGCACTGTGTGACACTGTGTGGCACTGTGTGGCACTGTGTGACACTGTGTGGCATTGAGTGGCACTGTGTGCTATGGCACTGTGTGACACTGTGTGGCACTGTGTGTCATGGCATGGTGTGAGACTGTGTGGCACTGTGTGGCATGGCACTGTGTGACACTGTGTGACACTGTGTGGCACTGTGTGACACTGTGTGGCACTGTGTGACACTGTGTGGCATTGAGTGGCACTGTGTGCTATGGCACTGTGTGAGACTGTGTGGCACTGTGTGGCATGGCACTGTGTGGCACTGTGTGGCATGGCATGGTGTGGCATTGAGTGGCACTGTGTGCCATGGAATGTCATGGTGTGGTCGCGTGGTGTAGCGTGGCCTGGCGTGGGCTGCTGTGCCACTGAATCTCACCGCGAAGTTCTATTCGCTGACTTGTGGCGATGGGGGATTCAGGCGGGGTTATCGTTCTATTCAACTGCACTGCGACAAAGCCGTGATGTAAATTTCACGATTTTAATTCCAGCCGCATGCCCCATACTGGGGCTCTCATCTCTCCGCCTTTGTTAGGGGCGGGAGGGGTGGGAGGTGGGGGGCGCGTGCACTCACGAGGGCACCGTTTGTATATTCACGGTGCTACAGATGCGGAGTGCATATTGCACGCCTATTGACCTGTTCGCATTTCCCTTTGCATCTGTTTGTTTTTTTCTGTGCTGAGCCGCAAATTAACCGAAGCGGAGAACATAATAAGGTCCCGCTATGTGCTGTTTCGTGGAGCGCAAAGCCCCAAAACGTCAAGCTGCCACCAACAAATAATCATATCCCAGTTGTAACAGATGCGAGTTACGTCTGTGTGTGTGTGATGGTGGTTGGTGGTGGTGATAAGTGGCGTAGCGGTTAACGTGCTCTGCTACGAACCCGGCTACCCGAGTTCGATTCCCACTCATGGCCAACACCAATGACGATCATCTAATACCGGTTCTGGGCCTCCCCTAGGTCGATCCAGCCTCAAATGAGCACCTGGTGCGGTGTGTGAACATCGCCACTAGGGAGACAAAGGCGATCGGGCGTGGTGCTGGCCACCCACTTCCTCGTGTCCCGTGCCGGCCTTGTCATAGGTGCTCGCTGACAGCACTTGCCCCAACGGTCTGTGCAGGCTATACCGGGGGATCTTTGTCTTTATTTTTTGTTATTGTTGCTGCTGGTGGTCAAACGCCGTGCGGCGGAGACCCATCCAGTCATCCTGGTCCGAAACCGGTGTCCTCGACACGCACGGAAGTATTAACCAGGGGCGGACTTCCGCTGCCGAACCGCAAAATACGGCAAAGAGCGGCGGATGGGACGCCGACCGGATCGTGGATCGCGGGGGGAGCCGTCAAAGGGGCGACGTCGCGACGACCCAGGGGCTGACGGTGGCAGCGCGCTCGGGGCCGCGGACACAGAGCCGGGCCGGGTGGGACCGGCGGGCTTCTTCTTCTTCAAGCGTTTGTCTCCACTCTCTCCCTGTCTCCACTCTCTCCCTGTCTCCACTCTCTCCCTGTCTCCACTCTCTCCCTGTCTCCACTCTCTCCCTGTCTCCAGGTTGCCCTGTCTCCACACTGCCCTGTCTCCACGCTACCCTGTCTCCACGCTCTCCCTGTCTCCACGCTGCCCTGTCTCCACGCTGCCCTGTCTCCACGCTCTCCCTGTCTCCACGCTGCCCTGTCTCCACGCTGCCTGTCTCCAGGTTGCCCTGTCTCCACACTGCCCTGTCTCCACGCTACCCTGTCTCCACGCTCTCCCTGTCTCCACGCTGCCCTGTCTCCACGCTGCCCCGTCCAGCGCCATTTCTCTTTCCGCTCCTCGGGCTACCACTGTGTCCGATCGCACCACATCACCCACCCCCCCCCTCTTCTGCCTTCCTCTTGATCTCTGTCCTTCCACTTGCATCACTCGCCACCTTCTGACCCACGCAGTTTCCCTGTCGTCTCTCCACATGACCGAGCCATACCCAGAGCCTTCTCTCTCTCTCTGTGATTTCTACCACACTGAGTCTTCCTCTTAACTTCTTAATTTCTCACGCCCCCCCCCCCACCCCGTGTCCTTCCTCGTCAAACCCAACATCCACCGCAGCATCCTCATCTCTGTGAGTGACTGCCATAGCTTGGTCCTCCCTCTCTGTCCTTGTGCCCCAGCAGCACTCGGCCCCGTACAACATCAGCGGCCTCACCACCGTCTGCGGCACATTTCCCTACCGAGGCTCTCCGGCAACCCGAATCCGGCACCCGACGCAGAGAGGCCGGGGATCGGCGCAGGCCCACGCGACCTGCGAGATACAGAAGCACGGACGTGACGATTCAAATGTCATCGTTGGAGAATTAAAATGCATATATATAAATGCATTGCGTGCGCGTGTGTACACACGCAAAAATTTGCTCAGTAAGCTGTTGCACGTATTTCGTTTTGGTGTTGCAAACGCATAGGCTGCAAAAAGCTGTAAGTAACGGAACCATCACAACGGTGTGGGAGCGTAATTACAACTTGATGGGTTAAATGTTCGCCAACGTATTGATTCGGTGAATCATTAATGTTTTACACGATTAAACAAACCAATCACGACACGTGACGCCTGCGAGTGAGAGCCGCCAGCCATTACGGCATCTGTCACCGTCACTACCATCACTCCACCATAATCACCATCATCATCACCATCACTCCACCATAATCACCATCATCGTCATCCCACCATCACTCCACCATAATCACCATCATCATCACCCCACCATCACTCCACCATAATCACCATCATCATCACCCCACTATCACTCCACCATAATCACCATCATCATCATCATCATCCCACCATCACTCCACCATAATCACCATCATCATCACCTCACCATCACTCCACCATAATCACCATCATCATCACTCCACTATCACTCCACCATAATCACCATCATCATCACCCCACCATCACTCCACCATAATCACCATCATCATCACTCCACTATCACTCCACCATAATCACCATCATCATCATCCCACCATCACTCCACCATAATCACCATCATCGTCATCCCACCATCACTCCACCATAATCACCATCATCATCACCCCACCATCACTCCACCATAACCACCATCATCATCACTCCACTATCACTCCACCATAACCACCATCATCCAACTATCACTCCACCACAACCACCATCATCATCATCCAACTATCACTCCACCATAATCACCATCATCATCACCTCACCATCACTCCACCATAATCACCATCATCGTCATCCCACCATCACTCCACCATAATCACCATCATCATCACCTCACCATCACTCCACCATAATCACCATCATCACCCCACCATCACTCCACCATAATCACCATCATCATCACCCCACCATCACTCCACCATAATCACCATCACCTCACCATCACTCCACCATAATCACCATCATCGTCATCCCACCATCACTCCACCATAATCACCATCATCATCACCTCACCATCACTCCACCATAATCACCATCATCATCACCCCACCATCACTCCACCATAATCACCATCATCATCACCCCACCATCACTCCACCATAATCACCATCATCATCATCACCCCACCATCACTCCACCATAATCACCATCATCATCATCATCACCCCACCATCACTCCACCATAATCACCATCATCATCATCATCACCCCACCATCACTCCACCATAATCACCACCATCATCATCACCCAACTATCACTCCACCATAACCACCATCATCATCACCCCACCATCACTCCACCATAACCACCATCATCATCACCCCACTATCACTCCATCATAATCACCATCATCATCACTCCATCCTCATCATAATCACAATCTTATGGCGTGCATTTGTACGCATGAAAGAAAACGCCGCGGTGAATGCTATTTTGTGTTTGTTTTATAATTTTTACTTGTTGAGCCAGGAGAGCCTTCCCGAGTCTCAACACTTTCTCGGGAGATTACCGCATTAGGTGGGCTATGCTGCTGCTGCTGTGCGTGATCCCAGTTGTGTGACTAGTAGGTAAAGCATTCAACATCGGGATGTTTTGGCCAACACCAATATACACTTCACCATAACCACCATCATCATCATCATCCCACCATCACTCCACCATAATCACCATCATCATCACCTCACCATCACTCCACCATAATCACCATCATCATCACCCCACCATCACTCCACCATAATCACCATCATCGTCATCCCACCATCACTCCACCATAATCACCATCGTCATCACCCCACCATCACTCCACCGTAATCACCATCATCATCATCATCACCCCACCATCACTCCACCATAATCACCATCATCATCATCACCCCACCATCACTCCACCATAATCACCACCATCATCATCACCCCACTATCACTCCACCATAACCACCATCATCATCACCCCACCCTCACTCCACCATAATCACCATCATCATTACCCCACTATCACTCCACCATAACCACCACCATCATCATCACCCAACTATCACTCCACCATAACCACCATCATCATCACCCCACCATCACTCCACCATAACCACCATCATCATCACCCCACCATCACTCCACCATAACCACCATCATCATCACCCCACTATCACTCCATCATAATCACCATCATCATCACTCCATCCTCATCATAATCACAATCTTACGGCGTGCATTTGTACGCACGAAAGAAAACGCCGCGGTGAATGTTATTTTGTGTTTGTTTTATAATTTTTACTTGTTGAGCCAGGAGAGCCTCCCCGAGTCTCAACACTTTCTCGGGAGATTACCGCATTAGGTGGGCTATGCTGCTGCTGCTGTGCATGATCCCAGTTGTGTGACTAGTAGGTAAGGCATTCAACATCGGGATGTTTTGGCCAACACCAATATACACTTTTATTTGTTGTTGTTGTTATGAACCCAGGGGGAATCCACGCAGAACAGTGTGAGAACGCTCAAACTGCCGCACAGAAAGTCACCGGAATCTGGATTCGAACCCTGGTCCCGGTTGCTGTAAGCCACGGCTGTAAGGTTATTCGCCGTGAGTGGAAGGGCACTGCGGGTCACACCCAGATGGCTGTGTGTTACGGATAATGAACACGTGCCTACCCACACACAATACAAAGATCCCCCGTGTAACCTCGAACGGGCTGTTGGGGCAAGTGCTGTGAGCGAGCAGCACCTATGAAGGCCGGAACGGCACAAGAGTCGGTGGGTGGCGAACACCTTTCCCGGACGCCTTTGTCTCCCCAACTGCTGATGTTTACATACCGCACCAGATACTCGCTTTAAGGCTGAGTCGACCTAGAGGAGCTCCAAGACTGATTCAGACATACGTCACCGATGTTGTCGGTGAGCGGAAATTGAACTTGGATTGCCGGATTCGAAGCGCAGAGCGTTCAACCACTGCACCACCGCTCCCGATTACTTTTACACATGCGAATTGGTAATTTTGCAGTTAATATTTGGTAATTTGCAAGTAACATTATTCAGCATTGGGGTGTTTCGGATCACACCGGTTACCGGTACCGGCTTTTAACTTTGCACACACACACTCCACACACACACACCACACACATACTCCACACACACACGCTCCACACAAACACACTCCACACACACACTCCACACACACTCCACACACATACTCCACATACACACTACACACACACTGCACACACTCCACACTCCACACACATACACTCCACACATACACACTCCACAGACATCACACACCACACACATCACACACACATAACACACACTCCACACACATACACTCCACACACACACTCCACACACATCACACTCCACACACACCATACACAGACACTGCACCCACACACTCCACACACAAACATCACACACACACACTCCACACACTCCACACACAGACTCCACACACACTGCACACACACACACTCCACACACACCACACACACTCCTCACATACTCCACACACACTCCACACACACCACACACACTCCACACATACTCCACACACACACACACTGCACACACACTCCACACACATACACTCCACACACACACTCCACATACGTCACACATCACACACCACACACATCACACACACAAAACACACACTCCACACACATACACTCCACACACATCACACTCCACACACACACCATACACAGACACTGCACCCACACACTCCACACACACATCACACACACACACACCACACACTACACACTACACACATCACACTCCACACACACACCACACACATCACACATCACACTCCACACACACACACACACCATACACAGACACTGCACACACTCCACACACACACATCACACACACACACCACACACTCCACACACACACTCCACACATCACACTCCACACACACACACCATACACAGACACTGCACACAAACAATCCACACACACACATCACACACACACTCCACACACAAACACCCCACACACACACACTCCACACACACACACTCCACACACATCACACACCACACACATCACACACACATAACACACACTCCACACACATACACTCCACACACACACTCCACACACATCACACTCCACACACCATACACAGACACTGCACCCACACACTCCACACACATCACACTCCACACACACACACCATACACAGACACTGCAGACACACACACTCCACACACACACGTCACACACACACACTCCACATACTCCACACACACACTCCACACACACACACTCCATACACAGACACTGCACACACACACACACCACACACACTCCACACACACACACACTCCACACACACTCCACACACACACTCCACACACTCCACACACATACCCCACACACACACACCACACACACGCTCCACACACACACGCTCCACATACACCACACACACACATACTCCACACACACACATACTCCACACACACACACACTCCACACATGCACACATTCTCCATACCCACACACTGCACACACACACACACTCCACACACACACTCCACACACACACTCCATACACAGACACTGCACACACACACACACTCCACACACACACACACACTCCACACACACACACTCCACACATGCACAAATTCTCCATACCCACACACTGCACACACACACTCCACACACACCACACACACTCCACACACACACACTCCACACACACTCCACACACACACACTCCACACACACACACACACACCCCACACACACACACACTCCACACACACACGCTCCACACACACACGCTGCATATACACACACACTCCACACACACACACATACACCACACACACACATACTCCACACACACTCCACACACACACTCCATACAGAGACACTGCACACACACACACTCCACACACACTCCACACACACGCCACACACACACTCCATACACACACTCCACACACACACACTCCACACACACTCCACACACACTCCATACCCACACACTGCACACACACACTCCACACACACCACACACACTCCACACACACACACTCCACACACACTCCGCACACACACACCCCACAGACACACACTCCACACACACACGCTCCACACACACACGCTGCACATACACACACTCCACACACACACATACACCACACACACACATACTCC